CGCGAGAAGTGGAAGGTGCTGCCTGTCTCCACTCCTGCCTTCAGCTCCATGGAATCTTCTGTTTTTCAAATACCCGGTCCCACTCCTACAGTTATAGCCTTGATCTACCGCCCACCCAAGCCCAATAGTGACTTTTTAAATGACTTCTCCTCATTACTCACCCAGCTCACTACCCTCTCCCCCAATGTCATTCTGCTTGGTGATATAAATATTCATATGGACAACTTGAACCTCCCCCTCACCAGAGACTTCTCCTCCTGCCTCAACAGCTTCGATTTTCAAACATATTCTAATTTTCCCACGCACATTAAAGGTCACTCTCTTGATTTAATCTGCTGCTCTGGTTTAACCCCATCTAACTGTTCTGCTAATGATGTAAATATATCTGATCACTTTTTTCTGTCATTCAACATCCCCCTCTGCTCTTTAAGAACTAAGCCTATCCGTCACATCTCATTCCGCAATATCAAAAACATTAACCCAGACACCCTGTCATCTATTATTAACACTATATCCATCCCTAGTTCTGCTTCTCCTGACCATCTTGTTTCTCATTATAACTCCACACTCCACAATATCTTGGATTCTCTTGCCCCAGTCAAAACTCTGTCCGTCTCCTTTACTAACTCTGCCCCCTGGTTTACCCCTGAACTCCGACAGATGAAAGCCAAAGGACGTCAACTCGAACGCCTCTATAAACGAACTGGTCTTGCAATACACAAAGAAATGCACAAAACTCATCTGCTTCAATACTTGGACTCAATTAAACATACAAAATCTGCTTTCTACTCTGGATTGGTTTCCTCCAATGAAGGCAACTCCAGGACTCTGTTCTCAATAATGCGCAATATTTTTCATCCCCCGGACTCTCTACCCCCCCACCTGTATTCTGCTGACTCATGTAACTCTTTATTAACCTTCTTTATTCAGAAAATTGCTTCCATACACCAGCAATTAATTCCAAGTTCTTCCCCTCCCCCTGAGATTTTTTCACCCGGCCAGTCATTTTGTTCCTTTCTTCTTCCCACCTCATCCGAAATATCTGATATTATCTGTAAATCCAAGCCCACCACCTGCTCTCTCGACCCCCTCCCTACAGTTTTGGTTAAAACATGTCTCACCTCCCTTCTCCCTCTCATAACCACCATAATTCACTCCTCCCTCTCTACCGGTATTGTTCCCTCACTTTTCAAAACTGCATCTATTACTCCAATATTAAAGAAACCCGGCACCGATCCCAATAATTTCAATAATCTTCGTCCCATCTCAAATCTTCCCTTTCTTTCAAAAATCCTTGAAAAAATAATCTCTGCTCAACTCCATGCTCATCTCACGCTCAATAGCCTCTATGAACCCTTCCAGTCTGGCTTTCGTCCTGGCCACAGTACAGAAACTGCACTCATAAAAATCACCAATGACCTCCTCACTGCTGCCGATACTGGACTGCTCTCCATTCTCATCCTCCTCGACTTGAGTTCAGCCTTTGATACCATCTCTCACACCATCCTCCTCCATAGATTGTCTTCCCTTGGCATTTCTCATACCCCGCTTGATTGGTTCCGTTCATATCTCTCTGGTCGTACTCAGTTTATTCAACTCAAATCCTTCACTTCCCGTCCCTTCCCTGTCACTACTGGCGTCCCCCAAGGCTCTGTTCTCGGTCCACTCCTTTTCATCACTTACCTTCTTCCCCTGGGAAATATTTTCCGTAAATTTGACATCCATTTTCATTGTTACGCGGATGACACCCAGCTCTATGTATCCTCCAAACCCTCCTCTTCACTTCCTCCTTCCTCCCTCACCAATTGTTTATCTGAAATCAAAGACTGGTTCACATCAAACTTTCTCAAACTCAACAGTGATAAAACAGAAATGTTACTTGTCGGCACTAAATCTTTTCTATCCAAAATCCACAGCTTTACACTTCCCGTCGACAACTCCTTAGTTTCCCCCTCCCCTCAGGTCAAGAGTCTGGGTGTCATCCTCGACTCCTCACTATCCTTCCAGTCCCACATAAACAATATTACCCGGTCTGCCTACTTCCATCTACGTAACATTAACCGCCTACGCCCCTCCCTCACTACTCACTCGGTCGCCATTCTTGTCCACAGCCTCATCACTTCCCGTATTGACTACTGCAACGCTCTTCTCTTTGGTCTTCCTCACAAATCCCTCCATAAACTCCAACTTCTCCAGAACTCGGCAGCCCGCATCATTTCCAGAACTCCCTCCTTCCACCACATCACACCTGTTCTTCAGCAGCTCCACTGGCTCCCAGTCACTTCCAGAATCCAATTCAAAATTCTGCTATATACATTCAAAGCCATCCATAACCTAGCTCCACCGTACCTCTCAGACCTCCTTCATCCTTCAACCTCCACCCGTTCCCTCAGGTCCTCCTCCTCCATCCACCTCTCAGTCCCACCTTTCCGTCTGGTCACTATGGGGAGCAGGGCCTTCAGCCGCTCTGCTCCCCAGCTCTGGAACTCACTTCCTCCTGACCTCCGTAACATTGATTCCCTCACTCTCTTTAAAACCAGACTCAAAACTCACCTGTTCCGTCTGGCATTCCAATAATTACTCTCTTTGCTCCAATCTGTCTGTTTGTTTTATGCTGTTTTATCTTTTATTGTTGTGTATTTTATCTCTGTAAAGTGTCCTTGAGTGTTCAGAAAGGCGCTGTTGAAATAAAATGTATTATTATTATTGTGATAGACCATAGACCGTGTGTTGGACCAGAAACCATGTGGTGCAGAGACCATGGTAATTAAATAAATAAAACAAAGCTTTTTCTGTTTTAACACAACATTAGGTGATTAACTGGATCCTGCAGAGCTCGATGAGCTGCTGATCAGGTGATTCCACCATTTAGGTGGAATTTAGTCAATGAAACACCCAAAACAGTTTGGGTGGGGGGTGGAGGACCGGGGCTGGACGTGAGATGGGTTTATTGATAGAACAAAGTCAGTCACTAAACATGCTTCAGAATGGAGAAGTGACTGGTATTTTTAGGGACTTCAAGCCCTGCCCCCTGAAGACGTGGTTCCATCTTTGCTTCTCTCCAGTTTTGCATGAAGCCTTGTGGGTTGGCCTTGTGGTAGAACTTTGTGTTCCGCATGTACAGAAACCCATCCTACAGGCAGGAAGTCCCGCCCACAGTCACACAGTGTACTCTGAAGAGGCCGCTGCCCTCAGACATGTTTTCTGCACGTTCCACACGTCACCCAGAGCTGAATGTCAGCAACACATCCGAGTCTGGGACATTAAACCACACACTATCTGGTTCAGAACCCTGATCATCTCATACCTGTAAAAGCTTAGTCCAACAACTCTCAGTTAGAGGGAAATCACTGGAAATAACTTTAAGGGCTTTGAAAACACAAATTAAACATCAGGCTGATTATTCATGAGTTCAATAAATAACCAACAATAAAAGGTTTTTAATAATAAAAGTTAAAATAGCTTAAATAGAAAGAAGAGTCACATTTACTTTATTAATTCAACACATTGTTTTTAAACTGGTGGAAAACAGCATAAAATAAAATGTAAAACAGCAGAAAAATTTAAAACACAGTTTAGAGAAATTCAAAACAAAAAACAAGGAATTATTACAAAAATAACCAACAGGGATGAAAGGGAAGAAATAGTTTGGCTTATTGGAATTGTTGTTGCAGAAGCGTCAGAGAGAGAGAGAGAAACAGAAGTGCACGTTATATGTAAACACACACACACACACACACACACACACATGTGTGTGTTTATGTCCCTCAGCCCCAGCGTTAACATCCAGCAGGCTTTTCTTGTTGTTCGGCTCTACACACACACACACACACATGCACGCACGCACGTACAAGCACACACACACAGACACACACACACATGCACGCACGCACGTACAAGCACACACACACACACACACAGACACACACACACACATACACATGCACGCACGCACAAGCACACACACACACACACACACACACACACACACACACACACACACACACACACACACACACACACCCTGCAAAAAAGGCTTTGCAACCTTATATCAACAGGAAGTTACCGCCAATGTGAACCAGGATTTTCACATTAAAACTTAAAAACTCCCAGAATTACAAACTTAAGAACTACAAGTGCATCTTGAGATTTACAGAAATAAAATAACTGAAAACAATTTCTGATGCTGTATTTCTAGCCTAACTGTTACAAAAACTTAATTAAACTGTCATAAATTTATTTAAGGGAACAGGAGCTGAAGCGTTTTTTATGGCATGTATTATTTAGCTTTTAAGCATGTTTGTATTGAGATATCTGGAGTTGCATATCTTGACAATTTCTAATCTGTGGGTCTGAAGCTGAAACGTTTTAGTCTAGTGAACTAGACCAAACTCTTGCTTTACAAATATAATATATATATATAATATATTTATTTAGTCTGGCTTGCCAGGCTAGAAACGTTTGGGAACCACTAAGAGCAGCGATTCCCAAAAGGAGGTGCGCCTCCCCCTAGTGGTACGTGAGCACGTTACAGGGGTGCACATTTTTCATGCCTTTTAACAACATTCTAACACAGTGAAGCAATACATATTTTTGAGATTTAATTAACAAAGTGGTTCTCTTGCATCTCTCTTAGACGATGACGATTGGCTGTGGAGACATCTGAAGAGTCAAGCCCAAAGAGAAGCCATTCAGCTTGACAATAAACTGCAGGTTCTAGTAAACTGTCTCCTGGGTCCGGTTTCAACTTTCACACTAGTTTAATGGTGCCCCCTAGTGGCTGGATGCTTCAACAGCTGCTTGATGATCAAACTGACATTTTCTTTAATGGGTTTTTCTCTGTAATAATTACATTTTAAAATATGTAAATGTACAGTCAAACAAGAGTCCCGTGTGTGTTATGGCTGCAGCAGGCAAACAGGGTCTGAAGGTCCAAGAACCAGGTGACTGGACTAAAGCTAGGACTAATGATGTCACAAACAGGAATAATGACGTCACACTTCAAAGCAAATTGTTTTAACCTTTATTAAACATAGCTTGCAAGAGATAAATATTACAAAGTTATTTCCTCCAAAATTAGCTTATTTTTTTCAGTGAATGCATAATTGTCAATCAACTGGCAGTATTCAAACAGCATTATTTTCTATTACTTTTTGATGATAGTTAAATATCAAGTATGTGCAAAAGGTCAGGATTGAAGTAAGCAAAACAAAAAGGTCTTGGATTAGTCTCTGGCTGCTTTCAGCATCTTTTACTGCTTGTCCAGATGTTTGCTTCAGCAAAGTCAACGTTTTGGAAAAAGAGACTCAAAACTTAACTTGATGAACCTGATGCTGCAGTAAACTGTTCCCTGCATTAGCGACAACAACTGATAGGAGATAAAGCCAAACAGTACAGGAGCACACGGGTTGGATGCTGGTGTCGGCAGAAAACATGGTGACTGATTCAGGATCAGCTGCCCGCAGGATGAGAGGGCCTCGTCGGAGCTGACCGGGTTTCAGAGGCCAGATACGGTTTAGGATCGGATTTTAAAACTACTACAAATAAAACGGAACATCAACTACAAATTATGAACTAATTATTCATGAGCGAGCCGTCTGAACTGTGCTCCTCTCTGGGCCTCAGCCTGCAGGTGCTGCTCGTCTGAACCGGTCAACACTTTCCTGCAAACTTGTAAAAATCCAAAATTACAAAATTAAGCAAATGCATTCATCAAGACCACGTGGGCGGGCGGGGTCAGGGATCCCTACCATTTTGCACATTAGTTACACAATAATACACAGTGATCACAAAACAAAATGACAAGCTTCACAATATTCATGGCTTTTGTTTGCTTTTCTACACAATGTACAACCAGTTTATTTCTTTTTCAGTTCAAAGGAGGAAAAAAGCTTCTGTACAATAAGTCATTATTACTTCAGGCCAGCAGGTATCCTGTCGTCTCTTCAATACATTTTTTTTAAAACTGCATCAAAACGAAACAGAACTCAGGCGGGACGCTGAAATGAGAAGGATTCTGGATTCTGAAACGACCGTAAGTCCAGAACCAGAGGCTGATGGATGGGCGGTTCCCGTCGGCAGCAGAGGATGAGCTGAGCAGAACCCGGATCTGAAACCACGCCCACACCGCCCATCCTGCACCAAGGGGAACCAAAACGTGGTCCAGCATCTACAATGGCTTCAGAGATGGGGCGCTTCTGTCACTGGTGGGTATGGATCTCTAAAGTCCAACCAGAACCAAACCGGTCCAAACAATGTCCTCATCTGAAACAATTACGACCTGGAGCTGCACGAGAAACAGGCCGGACTGGTTTCACGAGACTCGGGCGGATCTTTGGTTCTGGACGAATGACTAACGACGAGAACAGAACCAGATTTTATCAGCTGACGTGTTTTTATCTGAACCTTAAACTTTTGGACCCTTATGGTAAAGTCTCCCACCTCACCCCGGCTCAGAAGTTCTGATCCAAATGACAGAACCATGGCAGTAACAGGACCAACAGGGAGAATGAGCGTGGTTCTGTTTGTTGATAAAACGTTCAGCTAGTCCCTCACGGCCCGCATGTCCACTCACTGGTACCTGAGCTGCTGCGAACCAAGGAAACAGAACCTTTGGAGCAAAAGTCAGATTGGACCATCTGGAAAATGTTTTCAGTCTGTCAGAATAAAATCCAGGTTCTGGTTCTGAATCTGTTATGAGTGTAACATGATGTTTAGGAGTCTGAACCGGTCCTTCAGGTTCTGGGCAAATAAACACGTCCAGAACTGAATTCTGCAATGGACAAAACCAAGAAGAGAATCCAGACAGAACGGAACCAGAACTAGTTTCAATCAACAGGTACTGGACAAAAGGCCCGGCTCAAAGTCGGACCAAGTGCTTGGGGGCAGGAACTACTGGGCCTTGTTGGGGTCAGGACCCAGTAGGACTGGACCAGAACCAGAACCTTTATCCTTCAGTCTGGGTCGGTGTGTAAACACTAAAGCTTTGAGGGTCGACCCAGACCCTCTGAAGAGAGCTGGTCTCAGATCAGCACCTGGGGCTTCGTGTCCCACACAGGTACGGAGATTGTCTGCCCCCCCACAGAGTGAAGTCTTCCAGCGGGCCGCACTCTGCAGAGACGGGCTTTATGGTTCTGATGAGCTCAGGCGATGCTGCCGACGGTAACTAAACTAAACCCAGCTGATCCAAACAGGGCTTAACTGGACTGCACCCCGCTCACCAGCAGCATCTACACACAGACTGGACCAGGTTCTGGAGTCCAAACAGGTGCAGAATACAGAAGAACCAGTAGAAAACCAGTAAGAAACCCTGAACCGTTTCACACCAACATCCCGACTTCTGTTCCGACATTCGTTTCCTTTTCACCAAAACAAAAACAAACCATTTCCAATTGGAAACATGAAAAGTGCTCCTCCGGAGTGAGGCGTGCACGCTATGATTGATCCGTGTCTCTCCCGTAAAAGATCCAAATTCCTTAGTTCTCTGAAGCTAGGCGTCTGTACACGGTCCATAGAGATCTTTAAGAGTTCCTGTTACGGGCTGATTATCGTCTCCGGGGGCTGAAACCTCTCAGGTAAGCCACCGCTTCGTCAGGAGACGCCGCACAAAAACAAAAAGAGAGAAAAGATGAAGGGAAAGCCTGGCAGCCTAAAAACCAAAGACAGACCAGAACCAGAGAACCGGGTCCCGGGTCCGGAGTCACATCTGGACTTCATGTTCTGTACATTATCAAAAACACCTAAAGTCAAGAGGGGTAGAAAAGGTTCGTACTGCTGGCAGGTGAGATGGAAGCAGGACGTTTCTCCTCCTGAAAACTGGGCAGAGCCACAGACGCTGGCCTGTGATTGGTCACACTCGTCAGGTGAGTCAGGTGTAGAACAAAAAACCTGCAGATGAGGAAAGGTGGTCTGTACACATCATCACCAGTCTCCAGATCAGTCCAGTTCACGAGTTCTGATGGCGGCCGGGTTCTGACCCGTCCGCTGAAATGATCCATGCTGAGTGCTCTTCTCAAGTGCAGGCTCGGCCCTTTTGGGTCCGGTACTTTTACATCTGTCCAATCTGTGATAGCTAACTTAGCACTTTTACAAAGTACAAAGTGGTGTTTATCGTTGCATAGCAACCAGAGTGCACCCTGTTGGTCTGGTCTGGGTCAGAATAAACCTGGAGCCGAGTAGAGACAAAAACTGGACATGAACTCAGAACCGTGTGAGGATTTACCGCCTCCACTCAGAGGGAACGAACAGAACCACCTTGGACTCAAACTACAGGACCACCTAGCAGACCGGGCCTACCGGGTCAAACTGGACCACCGGATAGACCCGGTAGGCCCGACTGATCCAGCGGAGCAGGTGGACCCGCTGCCACCGGGCCTCATAAAGGGAACAATTCTACTTTAACAAGAAGGAAGATGTTCCAACAGTCTGAGTCCAGCCTGGTGGGTTCTGGCGTTTTCGTTTCAGGTAGGCACACGGACAGGCACTGCATGCGATGATGAGTAGTGAGATGAAGGTCTCGGCTGATTTGGGATCAGAACAGGGTGACTAGGCCGGCCTCTGGCGGGGCTCATTTCTGTCCGGTGATGGACTGGGATATGGATCGAGGTGGAATCATGTCCAACAAGTACTCCCTCTGACGGTCCGCTAGGCTGGAGGTCTTATGAGCCCCGACTGCTGCAGGATTCAGGTACGCAATGTTCAACCCTGCAGGACCAGAACACAGGAGGGACAATGTGAGGAGAACTTTAGCACCTCTGATGACCTTTAGATCAAGTTAAGAAAAGTTTTCTCATCAATATAAATTTATTTCAATGGTACAAGAAACAGAGACGTTGCCCCAAAGTCTGGTCCTGAGCCTGTGGGTGGACACCCTGTCTACTATGCCACTAGGCATGCCACTAGCTGGATTTCCTACCCCCTTGATGGACTTCAAGCATGGATAGGCTGGCATTAGCATCGGAGAGGCTAGCCATTAGCATGTCTCGGAGAGTCACTAGTCAGCTAGTGGCCAGCCTAGGCATGATAATGGCTAGCCTCTCCGATGCTAACGCCAGCCTATCCATGCTAATGGTCCATCAAGGGGGTAGGAAATCCAGCTAGTGGCAAGCCTAGGCACGCTAATGGCTAGCCTCTCCAATGCTAACACCAGCCCGTCCAGGCTAACGCTAGCCTATCCATGCTAATAGACAGCAGAGGGAGTATGTGAACCAGTCAATGACCAGCCGAGGGCTGCTAGTCCCTAGCGTATCTAGTAGTAACGCCGGTAAAGGTGCTATTTCTCAGTAAGCAGCGCCAACCTCTCAGTTACCGGCGCCAGCTTATCATTAATCAGATCGGTAGTTTGCTTCAGAATTTATGGCCCCCATACCGCGCCATAGTCTACCTGGTCATGTCTACCTGGTCAGTGTCTTCCATACACACTGTCTCCTTAAAGGGCCCATATCATGGAAAATTCACATTTTGAAGCTTTGTCGCATGTGATATTGTCATTTGGCTGCATTCATGCATTTTCCTGTTTCAGCTGCAAATTCTGAATTTTATTTTGAAATTCCTGAAACGGCCTAATGCATAAGTTGTACGCCACTCCATCTTGCTGCTCCCAACATCAGACCCTGCTCCTCCCCCTGGAACCTGCCTCCCCTGGCCAGCTCAGGGTAAGTGACGAAGGTGACTAGTGTCGTGTAAGACACGAGGGGTTAGTGTGCTGGGCTGGAGCACCATAGCCATAAATCAGGATTTTGGCAGTTCGTAGGAACATTTCAAATTTCATTCGTAGGTTTGAGTAAATATTCATTTTAATAATAAAGAACTAATTTCAGATATATTCTGTAACCTGCATCTGGATCTGAAATAAACTTTAATTGACTTATCAGAAATCCAGTAGCTTGAGTTTTATTGGAGAACTAAAATAACAAAAACTACTTTAGCGTTTACACTATTTATATGTGAGACTCTTATTGTGAAGGAATCCTTCTTTACTCGTCCAGTGTCCAGATTTCACTTTCTTTGGCTAAGAAAGGACTTTTTTCTTCCCTCTGCTCCTCTGATTGCTCCTCTAACTCTGTTGAATCCACCTGTTCAGGTCACCTCCCAGGGTTCTCAGAGCCCCTGCTTGCAGTGGACCCAGGGCACACAGTGACCTTCGCCCTGCCCCATCCACTACATCTCTGCTGCTTTTTACAGATGATCAAAACTCAGAGAATTCAAAAAAAGCACCTAAAAGAAACCATAAGAATCAAAGTGTGACCAACATCCTGAAGGTTCCCCAGCAGCTGGGCCCTGGAGGAGGGCTCTCTGTACCAACCTGGGATGTTGTAGATTTGACGGCGGCTGTCGTGCTGCAGCCGGTTGCTGCTGACTCCCCCGCTGCCACAGTGCTTGGCACTGCTCATCCCCATCAGGCTGCTGGCCACGGATAACTGAGACGCTTGGGCGAAGTTGGACAGGACGCCTCTGGCTGAGTTAGACAGACCTCGCTGGAGAGAAGCCTGAGGTTGAGGAGCCTGGAGACCAAGAGACCATCAAAGTTTATCCTGAGTCACACAGACCAGCGCTGAGATCGACACGACTTCAGATTTCAGAACAAACACAACCGGATCAGAAGTTCACAGAATTCAGCGCTGTCAGGCTGCAGCGCGAGTTTTACTAGAGAACATTAATAATATCAAATGGTTTGGCTCTTATTTTGAAGGGTTGAAGCAAGACAATAAAAGCCTCGGACTGATCCAACGCTACACGGTAAAGAGCACGCCAGCCTCAAGTACAACAGAAAAGTTCTCGTCCCCAGAGAGAATCCACCGCTTCTACTGTCATCTTTAGATTTGAGTTAAACCTCCAAAAGGTTAACAAAATAAATCCCACTGTCCTCGTTCGACCGTGATGAGTCCAGACGTTCCACAACAAAACCAGAAATCACACTAATTCATCTCCTCCAGGCCACGATGACGATTATTCATAACAGACACAGAAACACTCATGAATGAATCAAAAGCCCCTTAAAACAGTAAAGCTGTTTTCAGCCACTTCAAAATAAACACAGGATTGGCAAACAACAGACTCCAAGCCACCATCTTGGTCAGTGCTCCGTTATCCTGTCGTTTGTGCCAGAACCAGGGGTTCTTTCCATCGTAGGGCTTTGCTTAGTGGTGGTTTTACCATTAGGCATAGGTCGGCGGCCGCCTGGGGCCCCCTAGCTCTGACTGCCGGCACCCCTCTATTAATGCCACAATGGACTATTCCTTTAAGACTCCATGCACAAACAGGAAGTGATTGGTAGTCATTCCACTCCAATCCAGTTGGTGGCTGTAATGCACCAAATTGCTGTTTGCCAAGTGCCAAAAGACCATAAATAAGAAGAAGAAGAGAGGCGGGAGCGTAACAAACTCGAAGCGATAGTCAAAACATTAAGCATGAAATGGAGTTATCCTAGTGGCTCCAATAAGAGAAAGAAGCAGCTTGCTTTAAAAAAGCTTTTATCTTCACTTCCAAAAGTGACGTTGTTTTTCATTGTAAACATCAAAAGGAAGCAGCAAAGGAAAGACGATGCAAAATGTTTCAAGGGAGGAAAACAGACCAAAGTGGAAAATAGAAGAAAGGCTAAAGCACAGGAGCACTGGCAGGAAGAAGAAAGCAGAGCAAATGTTGAAGGCACTCAAAGGAAGCGAAAGACAGGAAAAAAGAGGACTGATCAAAAGTGAAAATAACTCATGTCAGAAGAGGGGAGTTTCGCAAATCCAGTTAAAGATAAGAATTGTCGAAAATTCAGAGTAAGGGGCCCCATGTCTGCGTTCACCTTGGGCCCCTAAATTGCTAAATCCGCCACTGGTTTTGTTAGAGGGTTGTGTTGGGCTATTTGTCTGGGCTCCTGGGACATTGTGAGCCCCAACAACTACAACCTACTGAATGAAAGCATTGGCCTAGAACTACATTAAAGCCATATTTTGCAATTTTTTCACATTTTTACATCAATATTCTTGAGCCAGTGTGTTCTACAATTATCTTTTACAGGGTTAATGAAATGCCACTCAGATCCCCACTGCCCTCTGTGGCAACCGTATTGCACTTGCAACTTCAGAGTGCCGGTCTAGTCCCTGTTGGACTTAGTAAAGGTGGAGATAACATGCCAGCACTGCAGTCTGCTTCCAGCACGTTTTAGATTGTGAGCGCAGCTGATTTGTTGGATTTAGTGAAGAACCGCTCCTGTAGAAACTAATGAAAGCTGGGGAGACATTTCAGCTGTAATATTTGGCATTTTTCACTTTTGGTTCCACACTAGGGGGCAATAAAAGCAAGAAAAAACTTCCTTTAAATAGAATACGTTTTTTTTGAATGATGAACCATGGCTCCTCGTGTAGGCTCCTGAAGCATTGAGTAAGATGGTGGCCGTGCGACCTGCCCGTCATCGCTAGTAGCCATCAGTTTTTCCATTATACTGGTTCCAGCAAGCCACGTAAAGGTTTTAAAGGCGTAACTACAGGCTGATTTAGTAGAAGTCGTGTGTT